ACATTTTCCTTAGAAAAAAATCAATTATTTATATTAAGTCTAAAAATTATATTACATATTGTTGGTGAATTATAATTAGAATTGGAAAATAAATTGAAGAAAATAAAATGTTTTTAGGCTTTGGTACGAATATCTCTCTCTTTCAAAAAAATAATAATATTTCACGGTCACTGTAATAATACTTTGCCGATCAACACTAAACCTTCTTGTCTTTTCTCTTATAAAATTCAACAATCTAACATTGTTAACTCAACAAACTCTAGAGTCTAGACAAGAGTTAAGTGTAAAGCTCTATGAAAAAATGTCTTCAGTCAACAAAATAAAACTCTTTTTTCTACTTATAATTTTTATACACTATATATTTTTCTTGTACACAATATAATATACGATCACCACTATTAATATGAGAAAACAAATTCTTCTATGTAATAAATAACGAGAATGTGGAATAGTAACATGAGTAAATCGATAAAAAGAACTATGATCCAAAATTAATAAATTATAAGATAGAATAATGAACAAATTTGAACGTCGCACAGTGTTATTGCCATCACTAAAAATAATGCAATCCAATGGCTTTTTGCTGAAGTAGTAATGCCCTTTCTTCTTTCTTTTTTTCCCTTGTTTGCCAACAGACTTTTGAGAAAAAAAAAAATAGAAAAGAAAAAAAGTAATTAATTTTTTATTTAAAACTAATAGTAGATCTTTTAATTTTCCCCCCCAAAATGATGGTAAATAATTGCTACTATGACATCAGAATATCACATGATGAAGATGTATACAAAAAAAAGAATAACGTAATAGATTTTGAAAATGATGTGAATGGGCACACATAAATTGGCAATTGAGCTATGCTATTCACCAACCAATGAAAAATCCATCAATAATTTAAAACGATAATGTCACTCACATGAATTCCATGTATAATTAGGGTTCGTTTAATCGTTGGTTAGGAAGTAAATTATTTATGTGTTAGAATCTTTGCTTGAAAATATGGGAATGTAAGGCGAAACATTTTATGCAGTAACAAATGTAATATAAATTCAAAAATATTATATCAATTTATATATACACTTAATATTTATGAAGCAATATTTAAGAATACTTGTATAAAGTGAAGTATGTTTTAGGGCATCTGAATTTACTGTCACCATCAAGGTCCGCAGATGGAAGAAACCAAACAATTCAGCAAGAAAAGATTCATATCTTTGTACCGATGAAAAGAGTATTACCACATTTATATGCTTGATACAAAGTAGTTGAATATCGATTTGAAGGTTTCTCGGATGAAATCTTATTTCCTTCATCGACAACGTAAAATAATATTATAGGCACATTAAGTTTCGAATTACTCAAAGTAAAAATAAACATAATTTAGCTATGAATGTACGTACCTTTGCTTCAGTAGTTGTGTCAGTTTCCAAGAACAACGTGATACTTTCAGCGAAAGTTCTCAACTCAAGCAAGCTACATGTATTTGTTAGTCTGAACAAACGTAAATTGAGAGTAATAATGAATACATCAATTAAATTCTTGCTCGTTAGCATTCTCTTTGTTATAAAAATATATTTTGTGATGAATTAAAATTTAAATCTAAATTATTTTTCCCTATATAAAATGGATTCACAACAAAACCATCAATTGATTTTTTTTATATCAATATTTTATTATTTTTATTATATAAGTGGTAGTTGTGCATATTAACTTTGTTATATAACATCGAAACACAATGATATATGCCCTTCTTTTCGTAGTTGCATTTGCATGTGCCTACAGAGAGGAAATGAAAATGATTGATTAAGAAACGAAAATACTGTATATAATATGCTTTCTTGGATTTATTTTTTCATCATTTTTTTTTCTCAATTATATTATAACATCTAAAAAATAATATATATATATATAGCCTTAGCAAGTGGGAGAACAGTTCTAAAATAAAAACTTTTATAGATAGAATCAATGTTTAAATTGACAAAATTGGACCACCCAAATACCAATAGCCAAATAGCCCCCACCAATCTCTCTATTGTCGTCAATGGCTATAGTTGTATAACAAGAGGAGAAGGAGCTAATGGATCAAAACTTTATAATCTATCACGTTTTTATTAGTTTCATATTTAAATTATGTCTAATTTATGTTTTTTTAGTTTCTCATATGATGTATGATATTCGTATTGGAGATGTCTGATATTTAGTGGAGGGTGGTAATTATTGATAGTGATTAGTGGAGGTAATAATAGTTGGTGGTGGTGATTGTAAATGATGGCTAATGATAGGGATAGCGAAATCAAACCCAACCCGTCCAATTCGTTTAAATTTGGGCGGGTTATTGACTTGCCCATTCATTAGCTCAACCCATTCAACTTATTAAAAAATGAGTTGATATGAAACCTAAATTGACTCGTGGAATTTTTGTCGAAATATTTTATTTTTCAATTTTATATGTTGTATTAGGTACCAAAATAATTTAAAAGATCAAATAAAATAATTAAGCTTGGTAAAAATTGGGTTGAGTCTTGACGCGTAATATAACCCATTATCTAACACATTTTGACCCAAGCAAATTTAGATTGGGTTGGGTCTTGACCCCATTGTTAACTTAACCCATTATAACCCGTTCAAATTTGGCCCAACCTGCTCAATTGCCACCCCTATCTAATGGTGATGATCAAGGGCGGATCCACATGGAGTCCGCCGGGTGCTCGAGCACCCATTAACCTTGTCTCGAAATATATATATCTATGTTGAAATTAAGAGGTATTTGTATGAAATTAACATAGAACACACCTAATGAATAAATGATTTGATTGACCCATTGACAATTGAGTGAGTGCTTAAGGCTCTTTTAGTATTTTGAGCCCAAGTTCGAATCTCATTGTTAACATGTATTTTTTATATTTGTGACTCCGCAGCTGAGGGTGGTAATTATGGATAATAGTTATGGCTAAAATGATGATTATGGGTGATAAGTGAAAGTAGATAGAGCAACGATAAACTGTCTTTTTCTTGTAGAAATTTTTAAATAGACATCTTAATGACATTAAGACTTTGGCATAGACATATGATCATTCATGCTCATTTAGTGATTGTAAAATTAAAAAAAAAATACACTTAATAACTAAAATTTAGATTAAAATTTAGACCTTCATAAATATAAACAAATAAGACCTTAGTCACAGGATAAAATATATTTTCTTACGTGCATGATCAGAATTATCATATTTTTAGTGTTTACAACCTTCAATTATGAAAAAAATTGGCCTATTCGTTTGCTCCTCTCCAAACGTGTTTAAATAGTCTTATTCTTATTAAAACTTTACAAAAAGTATTCATTCTATAATCATCAGCTGCATATTACCATATCACCTCGTAAGTATACGATTTGAAATTGAAATTTTATTTAGACAAGTTATTTGATTTTTTTAAAATTATATTTGTTTCTCATAGATATAAAATACTCTATAAGTTGTGAAAATTATAAAAATATTATCAAATTTTATATAATTTTATCAAATGAGTAAATCATAGTTCATATACAAAATATCGAAAAATATTAATAAAAAATTGCATATCTACATATTTCTTTTATAAATAAATATTTGACATCACAAAATTTTAAATATACATAATTTTATAAAGATAAATCAGTCAACAATAGTACTATAATAGTAACTAACTATTCTTTAATATAATCCTTTCATGTGGTACATATAATTTCTTTACGTTGAGAACGATTTTTTATTTTTTTTGCAATTTTAAAAATTATGAGCCTTTTTTACAAGATATTAACTTAAAGGTCAAGTTTTACAATTGAAATCCCAAATTTTTTTTTCATTTCTTAAGAAAATTTAAAATTTGAAATCAATCCAAAATCACACATCCAACACTTATTTGATATTTCATTTTAATTGATCAGTATCAATAAGAAAAACTTAAAAGGATATGTATCTCATTGCTTAAAATGACATTATTCAAAATTTAGTTTATAAACTCTTAAAGGTTATTACTATTATCTAGTTAATAATTTACTAGTATTAATTATGGGGATAAACAATAAGTTTTTCATTCCAAAATAAGTACTGCCTTAGCTTATTAAGAAAAATACTCAATACAAGATCTAATCCATTAAATTATTCTTATTTATTACTCTTCATGTCGTAATTTAGTGGCACAATTCAAATTTCGAGAGTCAAATAATTTTATTTTGACTGTAAATTCAAACAAAAAAACTTTTTTGAAAGAAAATCTCCATATTTGAAAAGTACTATAACTCACAACATTTAAAAATCTAAAATATTTTTTTAAAAAAAAGAATTACGATCAAATAATGACTTATTTGAATTTTGAAATCCAAATGGTAATACACAAATTAAGACGGATAATATACTACATTTTGTCATAAACTTCTAAAATAATACTCCTCCATATTAGGTTAATTTTTGAGGTGTTTCACACCCTTTAAGAAAAGTAGATTAAGACATAAATTAAACCTAGTTTTCCATTTTTACCCTTATTAATTATTGTCAAATTTTTGATTAAAATAACTAAATATTAATTAATCACTAATTCCAATATTAACTAATGAAGGGTAAAATTGAAAAAACACTCTAAAAATAATCTTGAAAACTGAACAATTAAGTTAATTTAAAAAATGAAAAATATCTTAAAAATTAACTTAATATAGAATGAAGAGGGTACTTATTTTAGGACGAAGAGTGCATCGATAATTTGCTTGCCCTTGGTATTTGTAGTAGTAAAAAACAAAGATTTATGATGAGAGATTAAAGAACACAAAGATTGTACAAATATAATCATAGATTCATATGATTCTCTCTTTTCCTCTTCTTTCTTCCCAATGGTCATTTGTAGGTCCCATCACCTATTTCCTCCCCCACCCCCACTCCCACCACCCCAACAACCTCTTTTTTCTCTTGCTTTTGCTCCCACCCCCACCCCCACCCCACCCCCCAATGTCTCTTTCATCTTTTTATTTTCATTCACAACTTTCCCTCACACTCTCAAAAACCCCAACACTTTTCTACTAAAGATCAACAACAAAAAAAACCCCACAAAGCCACTTCTTTCTTTCTTGCTCCTCCACACTTCTTTTACAACACCCCCTTTATCTCACTCACTCACCTCATTTTTTTGAGCTAGGGTTTTCTTTACTTTTGCTTCATAGTTCATACCCCACAATGCAATAGTTAACCCCCTCAACATTTTCTTGGATTTTTACTCAACAATGGCTGTAAAGTTTTCAACTTTGATTCTCATTTTTGTGTTTCTTTCTGCTGCTTTCTGTTCTGTTTCTGCTACACCTTCACCTGCAAGTGAGTCTGCATTCTGAATTTTCTGCATGTTTTTAACTCTTTCTTGAAGATTCTGTCATTCTTGATCTGTTGTTTTTTTTGCTGGTTTTAATGGTGTTTTTGTTTTGGTAAGCAGAGATTGTAAATGGGTTTGTTACAAATGCTGTTACGAAGCTGATGAAATGGGTTTGGTCACTCAAAGCTAGTACTAAAACAGGTATGGATCTCTTTGATGCTGTTCTTGGTTATAGTCCTACATTGGTTTTTTTTTTCATTTTGATTTGGTTTTTGGTAAATGGAGTTGAGGAATGAAATGATTTTTGGTGTTTTGCAGTGATTTCTGGGCGTCCAATGATGAAATTTGAGAGTGGGTATAGTGTGGAGACTGTGTTTGATGGAAGCAAACTTGGGATTGAGCCTTATTCTGTGGAGATTATGTCTAGTGGGGAGCTTCTCATTTTGGATTCTGCTAATAGTAACCTTTACAAGATCTCTTCCTCTTTGTCTCAGTGTAAGTTCTTTTTTCTTTTGGGTGTTTTTTTAGCCATTTCCTGCCGATTCTTTTTTTATTTAGTGAGGTTTGCGTACGCTCTACCTGACCCCAATTGTGGGATTACATTGTATATGTTAGTTGTTTTTAGCTATTGTAGGTAATTAGTGCCTTCAATCTTGAGTGTTGTTTTGGTTTTTGTCTTTTATTGCCTGTGTATAAGTAGACTGGCTTCTCTCATTTGAGCAGTATCAGAATTTTGACATGAGTGTAAATGAACAATGATTTCAGCTAGACATTGTACTGAGTTTTAGCTCATTGTTTACACACTTTGGCTTCATGTGCCTGGTGCGTTGTGTCCTTTGTGATTTCAGAATCCTTTGTGATTTTTACTTTTTGAGTAGACCACTGACTGTTTGCAGTGGAGTTTTGGTGCTTCCACATCAATATTTTGCATACTTTTGTTCAGTATTGAAGATTTGATTCTCCACAGGTACCTGATCTCTGTTTTTTCAAGTTGGCTATTAAAATGGGTTCAACTAGCAGCAACTCTATAAAAGATGCTTTGCTTTTACCATTTGATTCTTCTTGTCTGCTGCAAATGCTTTTGCTCTGTTCTTTTACTGACTTCTTGCCAATAATTTTTGATGTTTTGTTTCTAATTGTTTTCCCTAGAAGTTTCTTTGCGGGACTTTTATAGTGTGGAAATTTTAGTCTAACTGGGATATTTTACAGACACCAGACCTAGGTTGGTGGCTGGATCAGCTGATGGATACTCTGGACATGTTGACGGAAAATTGCGTGAGGCAAGAATGAACCATCCGAAAGGTCTAACTGTTGATGACAGAGGGAACATCTATGTGGCAGATACTGATAACATGGTAATTAGGAAGATAAGTGATGCAGGTGATTTGCTAAACTTCGTTCCTAGCTAAGACATAGGAGCATTGTTTTGCTAGTTTGTGACCTTTATGCACGTCTTTACAAACTCCAATCATCTAAATGCTGATATAGTTGGATGACTCCTAAAATCTCCTTTGGGTATCTCTTAATTTTAAGAGGAAAATGTGTGGTCTAATATTAGTCTGCAAAGTTAGACTACTCAACTTTAAGCTATGAAATTCCGTTGTCCAGGAACAATCACAACAATTGCTGGTGGTAAATGGAGCCGTGGAGGTGGGCATGTTGATGGACCAAGTGAAGATGCAAAATTCTCTAATGATTTTGATGTGGTCTTTATGGGAAGCAGTTGTTCCCTGCTTGTCATAGACAGGGGAAATAAAGCAATACGGGAGATCCAACTTCATTTCGAAGACTGTGCTTATCAGTATGATAGTGGTTTCCCTCTAGGTTAGTAACTTTGTCCTCTTACTATGTACAATTTGTTTCAGCTGAAGGTGTTATTGAATAAGAAGATTATGCCACAGGTATTGCTGTGCTTTTGGCTGCTGGTTTCTTTGGTTACATGCTAGCATTGCTACAACGAAGGGTTGGTACCATGGTATCCCCCGAAGAAGTGAGTATGAAGTTCAGTACTCTTATGATTTAAGTTAGATAACTTCGTAAGAACTTAAGGACCTTTCTTCCTCTTCTAGGCTTGCCTTTTTGTATCCTGCTTGGAGATCGCTGTAACAGGTTTTAGGAAAATAGTTCTCACATGTTTATGCGGCAATTGGTTGTTTGCAAGTAAAACGTCTATCGGACAGATTTTTTACAACTTCCAAATGGCACCCTGTTTTGTGTCTGATTTCATAACCTTCTGCACGTTTCCATACACAAAACTCATTCACTCCTTTCTCTTCTGTCTTCTTTAAGGATCAGAACGCATACATTTTCACTGATCATTATGAGAAGCCAGTGAAATCATCAGTAAGGCCTCCTCTAATTCCAACTGAAGGTGAGGTGGAGAAGCAAGAAGAAAGCATGTTTGGGTCTCTAGGAAATCTAATCACGCGTACTGGAGCATCAGTATCGGAAATTTTAGGAGGTGTATTTCCAATGTTCAAAAGGTTGCCTTTGAACCATCACTATCAACAGCAACAGCAGTATCAGCAACAACAATATCAGCAACAGCAGTATCAGCAGCACACATGGCCGGTACAGGACAGCGTTGTAGTACCAAAAGAAGATGAACCCCCATCCATTGAATCCAGAACTCATACTCCACGAAAGACCTATGCATTCATGTCCAAAGATTCTGAAAAGATGCAACAGCTGAAACAAAGCCGTGCTTTTTATGGTGGTGGATGGAATTCTGACTTTCAACAACACCAACAGCAGACTCAGAAGCATCTACAACATCATCAATATCATTCATCTGGACCTCAAACATTCTACGAGCAAAGCTCAGATAATACAAAGGAAGTAGTTTTCGGAGCAATTCAAGAACAAGGGCAACGCGAGGCAATGATAATAAAGCCTTTAGACCATGCAAATTCTGTCTATGATCGACATAATGCTCGTTCTCGGTTCAACTCTGCTGGATATGCCTAAGGCTATTAATCTATTCACATACAGAAACTTCGAAGGTTCTTTAAATTGCTTGGTGATGGCTTAGACATGAGAAATATATCATGCATTAACAGCCATCAAAGTACAAATTTTGGAGAGTGGAAGCCCATGTTAGAATAGCTTATAATGTTTATCCAGTTGCCAAAAATGTTGTAGTGAATGCTGTGAAAGTATTACTAGTACAAAAAATTTATTCTATATATATCAATCATCTGGTTTGGTTGACGATATAAATTTATCTTGTATCAATTCCCAAGGAATTCCGTTGCTTCTATTGCTTTTTGGAATACCAAGCTGTATATTAATGTCAAGACAAGATCTATTCCCATTTCTTGTCCTTTGCACACAACCTGAACCTCTAATGGGGTCCAAGAAAAAAAGAAAAGACAAAATGTGGACAAAGACAACAAAAACAGCCAAAAAAATGTACAAGTTTTTCTCCTAACAATCTGTTCCACCACAGGTAGCTGGAAAACACAGAAACCATATGGAGTCATTTGGCATGCCGACTAAATTGTCTTGGGATTATAATTCCTAGACTAATTCAACATGTTGGATAGGATAAGGTGGGATATCATCGGAATTAAGTTTGGGATAAAATTTATATCTCACCTTATCCCGCGTACGGTACGACACCTGTGAAAGCACAAGTTGTATTACTTTAACCAAGCCTGGCAGAACAATGTGGTATGGGCTGAGTAAGGACATGAATATAACAATATAAAGGAAAATATGCACTTGAATCTGCCATTAATGATCTTTTTTATATATATTATTACTCCTTAGTGAAAGTAAGAATGTTTGTTGATGTTTTATATTTTAAATTTGTGGTGTTATTAATAATAATATAACTGTACTGATGTTACAGTAGGAGAACCAACCACTCACATGGGCACGTGACCAAACGGTAAACAACAGTTAACATTAGAGAAAGACAAATGAATTAAGCATTTTTGTCAATAGATCTATTATAATGTTTCATAAAGTAATTATCATTACCAAGTTTTTCTAAAAAATTGTATTCTCATTTTTAGTGGATTCCACTTTTTACACAAGTTAATTTGGGTTGTTGGCATTGGATAACTCCAAAATATATTTCATTTGGTTTAGTGACATGGTTTATAGATCCCATGTAACTTCCCACCTCATCTAAAGGACAAGAAAAATATTTATAAAAACTTTTATACATACTGTGTTTGACCATGCTTTATTGTAAAATTTGAAGAAAAAAATTATTTTTATTTTTAAGGAGAAAGATGATATTTGAATATTGGCATGCAGTTGTATTTGGCCATGAATATAAATTAGAGTTGTTTTTGACTTTTTGTGAGCAATTCGAAGTAAAAACATCTTTTGTTGTTTTCAAATTCTTGAAAAAAACTTCAAATTGAATTTTGAGATTTTATGGCCAAAAGTATTTATCGGAGTTCAACTCCATTAAAAAGTGAAAATTTCATGGCCAATACTATCTTTGTTGCAAGTGCAATCAAATCTCATAAATAAAAAAGGCCATGATAGATTAGCAACCAACATAAAACTTATCAATTCATAAACAATCCTCACAATACAATAATTTCATACGTGCTCACCTAGACACGCAAGTAGAGGAGTTAAGTATGAGCTAGGATTTCCACATCATGGACGACAATAAGTACACGAGTATAGTCAACCCCAACTAGTTTGAAACTGAGACGTAATTATTATGAAATAGTTGAGTATACTAATATTTGCAGCTTACAAAAACTAAAGATAAGAAAAATCAAATGGAAACAAAAAGGAATAGTTTTTTCATATGAGGCATCACTTCATTGAAACAAGAAACACAACTGAAATAGTAACTTAAAAGGAGCTGTCATTCGCTTGTCCAGTTGCCATACTATGTACATAAATATTGTAGCAGATGGACTTGACAACTTTCATAACACTTGCACAAGTTAACAATAATGCATTAATACTACTACTAGACTTCACTAATTTACTTTCTTTTTTTGGTTAACTAAGCTCAAAATGCTTTTAGAAACTTCAGGGCCTGAAGAAGCATTCCCTTGCTCTGCAAACACTTTTATATTAGATAATATCATGCTATCTACAACAGAAACGTCCATACTTTCCTTCACTGCATCATCTTGATTAGTAGTCAGCTCAGAGTCGTCTAAACTTCCATCAAAAGTTATCAGATCTTCTAAACTGTTAGCTACCACCGGCGAGTTGGCTGATTCGTTGCTTTCAAAGTCATGAAAATTTATGAGAGGTGCTAGTTGTCTAAGAGAAGTCTGGCGTGCTACTACTACTTTAGGACTAAACATTAGAAGTAGATGAGAGAAACTAAGCAATACGAGCTGCCTTAAGAGTGAATAGATTTTTGAATCAACAATTACGCTTCTGATGACGAAGCAGAACATCAGAACTTGTCTCTCCAGATTGATTAGGAAGTGCTTCAATGTCATGTTGTGCTGAAGACGACTGCTGTGATCCTGTCTAGAAAGTTCCATTAGAGAAAATGTGAGCATTTGTCATCTCAACTGAACTCAAAATCAACCTCCATTGTGTACTTACATTTGGGATAACGTAAGGACGAATGACCAACCCGATAATCAAGCAGACCAAGCAGGGAAGCCCCACGGTTAAGAGCCATGTAGAAACTGCTCTTAGATCTGACAAGATTTTAGAAATGTTAAAAAGTATCTGATTTCAAGTAAAGGGAAAGACTGGCATTCAGAAACACAAAGCAAGAAACATCTACGAGATGAGATTTCAAAAGGTAGTGTTGTTGTGTACTAAACAATCCACAAGCTTTTAGACTGCAGAAACTGATGGGCAATTCCAACCTCAAAATCACAATAAGGGAACAAACACAATAAAAGAATGAGCAATGTATGCTTGCATTAATGTATTACCAGAATGAGAATCTCTTGAACAATCCTCGGCTTTAAGCTGTATTTCGCGGACTAATCTAGTGCCATGCTCAGAGATCATTAGAGTGCATCTTTTAGGAATGAAAGAAAGCTCATTATCATCTGAGAATGAGGCATTTAATCCAGGTCCATCAGCACGGCCTGGTGTTTTTGAATAACCTCCTGCTATTGTAGTAACACCTGATATCATCATTGATTAAGGAGTTGCATTCAGAATCCAAGATGACAATAATAATTAAACAAAAATTGCTGAAGTAGCTTAAACTATAGTTACCGTGTAATAACAACACCATTTGACAACTACCTAGGTAAATAAGCAAAAAAAAGGGAAGGTCAAAGATGCCTCTCTACTATAATTTGATCCTTTGGTATACTTTGTCATTCATACACTCTACACCCTCCCCAGACCCCATGTATTGGGATTTCACTGGGTATGTTGTTTGTTACCCTCGTCATTTGCAAATCGTCTCTTATTTTCCCTGGACTCTAAGGGAGCTCCAACATGAAGTAAAATAGAGGATAATTTAAAACCATATTCAACAGTAGATAGGAGAATTTGGACTTCTTTCCCCAAAGTATTTTGTCACATGGAATCCACTTAATCCACCTTGGACCTCTGTTAAAATTTAAGTGCAAATAGAAAATGATTTGCTAACGACAAGGTATGAATGGCTTCAAAGTAAGGTGATTGAAATTTTTTGTATAGTTGAAAGGTAACTTTGGTCCTTTTCCCAAAGCAAGATAAACACACTAGATCATCTTCCATGAGGAGAAACACTCTCTAAGCTATAACGTCCTCTTGAAAGAAAAAGGACGTTGAAGAAGGGAAACATGAGAGTCATGAGAAGTTGCTAAATAGAACTTTTGAAGACATGCTTCATACACCACATTGTACAGCATATTTATCAACCAACATGAGAAGCATAAGTTCAAATTGATTACCCATCACACCACCAAACACCAACATAGACTAATTATAGTTAACAACTCTTGGCTCCATGCCCATCTTCTTTGTACATGCGGTTCCATTCAGCAGGCCCCTATGGAATATCATCAATTCTTAATGCTTGAAAGCAGCTATTCCAGTCAATTTTCTTTGAAAACTGTGTTGGAAGGAAAAAGCCTGGTTTCCAAGTAATACTCAAGCTAGAAATCCAGCAATTCCACTTATTCATCCATGAAGCTTGGTGTCCTCTTCTTATTTTTCCCCATTATTCTAAAAAAAATCCTTCCTTCTACTAAGTGTCATTCTTAACCTTCATCAAACATGAACCCAGCATCTGATAGCCACACCAATTTCTAAAAAGATACAAATGATGTCCTTGACAAGGGATAGCTTAGCAGTAAAGACCCTCCACATCCAACCATAACGTTGACATTCAAATCCCAAACAGAGGAAAGTAAGAGAAGGCCCCAAAAGAAATAACCACTTTTTAGCCACTGTAATTGAAATAATCACTATCACGGAGCTTCAAATTCCACGGGTGAAACTCCCTGTGGAACTTGCAACTCCTGACAGTGACTGTTTTCCAATTACAAGATGGAAAAGTGGTCAGTCGGCCCTATTCCTATGTTTTCTCACCTGGAACTCCATGACAATGACTATTTTCCAGTTACAAGATCGAAAAGTGGTCAGTCAGCGCTATTTCTGCGTTTTCCACCTAGAACTCCATGACTATGACTATTTAACGGTTACAAGAACGAAAAGTATCCAGTGGGTGCTTTTCTACGTTTTTCACTTGCATGCCATTTTTCACTTGCTCCTCTGAACATATCAAAGTTATTTTCACAGTTTGCATGCTGACAAGGTATCACTAAACACCAGGCCATGGCTCCAACTTTCCAACTATTATAGTCTTTCAACTTTACACCCCAACCAAAACCTTGATATGAATTTCCAGTATAAATTTTTTATTAGGAAACACTTATATCAGATCAAACACAAGTACACAACCAGTAAGACCAGACAAAGTACCAAAATAAGAAAATATCACAACTATATCTAGATACCTGACTTGCTAATCTTTCTAATTGCATGCATGTTCTTCATATCAGCAACATAAATATTCCCTTTTGAATCAACAGCAAAGCTTCTTGGTTTGTTGAACTTAGCCTTATCCAGAGAACCATCCGCGTACCCAGGGCCATTACCAGTTAACTTAGTAACAGTAATATCTGCAAAATTCCCAAGAAGATTGAAATAACTCAATTCTGCAACAACCCCACATCATAAAATCAACTCTTTCTCTAAGTAGTTCAATAAAAACCAAATCTTTATCACATTTAAC